ATAGGCCTCCTTGCGCTGCTGCTGGAGCTGCTTCTCGTTCCATCTCAACTCGCGCGCCGCCAAATATGTTGTAGGCATGCGCAGTGCAAACTAGCGACTTTCTCTCTTCGCAGAAGTACTTACACATACTTACACGTATGTGTATGTATATACATATATATGGATACGCATACACTACTGTGCTACTACACATATGGTATGCTTTCTACGAAAGCGTGTGATCTAGTCTTTGAGATATATATATATATATACACATATACGAATAGACACAAGGATATATAGGCAGATAAATACCTGTATGTGTATGGATGTGTTTGCCCTGCGAAACCTCTTTGAGAGGGCACCCTGCGTGTAGGTGACGCGCGGCTATACCCCACAGATAGAGAATAATAGATACGGCGGGGATGCCTATTACACTGTATACGCAGGTGCGCGTACACGTATGTATATTCTCTTACGCTCGTGAACAGGTAGATCCCTTTTCACCGAAGCCTGCGTTGCAGTCTTCGAGATATCTATATATATATATATAGATATATATAATGTATATATCTTTACATTGGCGGGCGTTTACATCGTGTGAGATATATTCGGGCGTGCAGCCCGCGTATAGCCAACCTATGATCACATTTCTATAGCCGTCGGGAACTGTATGCACAGCGGTGATACCAAGCACACGACGAACGTACATATATATATATATATGTTTACATTGATGCATGCTTACACCGTGTGAGATATACCTGAGCGTGCAGCCCGCGTATAGCCAACCTATGGTCACATTCCTCTAACAGTCGGCAACAGTATGCACAACGGGGATACCAGGCGCACCACGAATGTACACATGAATACATATATATATATATGTACATATGTATTCGTATGTATTCGTGTTACTGTAGTATGTAACATTCTCTACGTCTTCTCTTTCCTTTTTCACTCGCTTCCTCTCTCCTTATTTTTCGTTGGTAGCTTTTGCTTTCTGGTTTCTATATTGTCCTTGCTTCATCGATGCAGCTCTCCGCAGCTGCGGCATTAAAGAACGCTAGCAGCATACGCCATGCTGGGACGTCATTGGTTGTCCGAGCCGTCTTCCATGTGCAGCAAGGTAACAGCAGTAATTTATGCGCATACATCCACTTGTGTATCTGGAGAGACGGAGAGAAGGATAGAGAAGTATATATACACATATATATATATATACAGATATATGAATATATGCTTATCCCATTTGAGCGATGATGACTTCCTTCTTTATCCTTTTTCATTAGGCACGGGCACACATGAATCAACATAAGCATTCGTACATAACAGTGTGCACGCTACAAGTGCATGTGTAATATCTATGTATGTACGTGCACAAATATACGTATGTGCGCAGGCGCTGCGGTACGAGTCTGCGCGTGCAGGGAGCCCGTGTATATTCGCACGGTGGGGGGGAGAGTATAGAGGTCTATCTGTACACATGCATATACAGATGGATAGCTGTATGCATACCTAGGCTCTGTGATACGTCCCCGCAGCTACAAGGAGCGCCTGCTGTTTTATGTCGTTCTCTCCAACAGACACGAGCACTTGCAGCATTCTCTCTGACAAGTATACCCATATGCATACATATATATATATATATATATATATATTTTTGGAGAGAGGCAGGAAGAGATATCCAGAAAAATGGCTATAGCTATACATATACGCAGTAGTGGTGAAAAGAGCTTATATGTCTATGTATCCACGTATACGCATACATATGCATATGTGCCTGTATTCAGGCGTACACGGAATAAGAGGGGCTTCAGTAGGTGTGAGGACGCCCGATAGGAGGCCAAATATCCGGGGCCTGCGCAGTACACGGCTAAGTCCTTGAAGGAGGCAGAGTGGGCTGGGGACAGAGAAGTCAGAGCAGCGGCAGAGGCAGCACTTGCAGCCGGAAGTCTTCCGATACGTCTTTCTCTTCTCTGGCCCGTGAAGGCACAGATATATATGCATATTCAAAAAATAATTGCATAGCTTATCTGTAGCGGCACATATATATGTACATATACGTTAATGCACGTACGCAAGAAGGAGGGGTTGTGTATGTGTGGTATCTTGTAGAAGCCTTTGTGGGTGCTATTTAGAAGCAAGATACCCGCACTAGGTCTATAGCAGAACGGGAACATGTTCAATATTACGTGCTACGATGTTATATATATGCATACGAATATATAAATATACGCAAATATAAGGGTTCGTCTGTATGTGTGAATGTATATGCGTCAGATGAGAGAAGCTCGCATATATAGAGTTTCGTGCCCTACCTAGCGGCATGAGAAATCTCAGTACATATCTGAGGGAACCTGAATTGTGCTGCAGCAGTAATGTGTTGGAGGAAGACATCCAGCGAGGGAGTCATAGCTTTGTTCCCTCTAACGTCCCCTTATATATATATATATATAAATACATATAAATATATGTATATATATACTTGTGTGTAAGAAGAGGTGTGTTTGGGTACAGGACATTGGATATGAACCACATGGCGAATTGTCCCGCGGCGCAGTCTATACATACACACATACAGACATACTCTCATATTTGCGTATATTCCTATATTCGTATGCATATATATAACATCGTAGCAGATAACACGGGATACGAACCACATGGCGAATTGTCCGGCGGTGCAGTCAAGCCGGTGGTTTAGGATTCATTTGGCGCCACCACGTACGGCCTGGGCTGCGGACCGGAGTCTATACATATATATATATATATATATGTATATTGATATATTGGCAAGTCACTGTGATCGGTATTCCAGGCCAGTAATCCCAGACGGCTTATCCAGCTGCCTCCACGTGCCAATCGGTTCAACTTGATATAGTATACATGTGCATACATATATATATACATATATATATATATTTAGACGTGATATTTTTAGATGATATAAGGTAGGTTCTTAATGACAGCTGCCGCCTCAAGGCCAAGTAACCAGCTGGTTGATTCGTACGCTTCGGGGCTTCGCGGTGGCATACTGGATTCGGAGAATCCTACTATATGACGAGATGAGCATGTAGGGACCGCACGTACTCGAGTGGGCATCGAGGCTGAGTGATTCCCGAGTTCTAGAGTCCTAATTCTCGGGTTGAGAACTACAGTCTGCCCCCCTGCCTCCCGTTGATCTGCGGTCTACGGCTGCCGCGGAAGAGAGGAGGCCCCGCCTCTTGTCTCTTCCTTACACACTTTCATAGACACATATATCAAGAGAGCAACTGTCGCAAGAAAGCCACAGCAACTCGCGCCTTCTTCGGTGCTTATGGAGAGAGGCAGCCCCTCCTCCGTTTTCTTCTCTTGTACCTCTTCCTGTCCGACTTGCTGTTAAACCACCTCTTCCTGCTGCTCCTGCTACTTCGGCAGGTGCAGCTGCCTCTGTTGATCCACCTTCTCCTGCTCTACATCCAGCTGCTGCCTTTGCCGCTCCTCCTGCACCTCCTCCTATTTCTGCAAACGTGAGTGCTCTTGCTGATGTGCCTTCTTTTTCTCTGCTCTCTTCTGCTGCTGTAGCTACCCGTCCTGCTGCTGCTATTCTTGCAGGCGTAGCTGCTTCTGCTTGTCCGCCTTCTGCTGCTCTGCTATCTTCTCCTCCGCTGCCGGCTGCTGCTCGCTCTGCTGCTGCTCCTGCTGCTGCTCCTGCTGCTGCTCTTCCTGCGGCTTCGTCTACTTGGCTCTTCAGGCGTATCAAAGACCCGACAGCAACATCAAGAGCTGCGGCAACTCCCCCTCCTCCTGTTTCCCTCAGATGCATGCCCAACACATCCGCCGGCTGCAGCAGCAGAAGACGAAAAAGAAGTAGAAGAAGAAGACGAAGGACAACAAGAGAAAGAGGGAGAGAAAGAAGAAGTGGTAGACGACGAAGGAGAAGAAGAAGAAAAAAGGAAGAAGGGGAGGAAGAAAAAGAGGACGAAAAGGAAGACAAAAAGGAAGAAGAAGACGAAGTGGTAGCAGGCAGATCCGGATCCACCTGTACACCAGCACTCGTATGAGAGAGCTTCAGCTCTGCTGCTTCGACTGGTATTTCCTCTCCACAGCGGCAGATAAAACAAAACAAGTCATCATCGACCTGCAGCAGCTCCTTTGTGTGCACCCACGTAACGTGTCTAGACTCTGCCCCTGCAGATGCAAAAGAAAGATAGCAGCAGCCATAGCAGCAGTCACAGCATCAGCAGCAGGAGCAGCAGTGGAAGCAGCAACAGAAGCACCAGCAGTAGCAGCAGCAGTAGAAGTATCAAGAGGAGCAGCAGGAGAAGCAGCGACAGGAGCAGCAGCAGTAGCAGCGACATGAGCAGGAGCAGTACGAACCGCAATAGGAGCACCAGCAGTAGCAGCAACAGGAGCGGCCGCAGTCATAGCAGCAGCAGCAGGAGCAGCAGCAGGAACACTCACACAGCAGCAGCAGTCTTCACCGCGGCACACCTTGAGCAGCAGACGCGACAGCAACGCAGAAGCAGCAGCAGCAGCAGCGGCAGAAGCAATCACAGAGCAGCAGCAGCAGCAGCAGCAGCAGCGGTGTTAAGACTTACAGCGGCTGCACAGTAGGTGAAGCACCGGCAACGTCGCAGCTGCCATTGGAGCAGCTAAAGGTCAGCAGCAGTCTTCACTGGAGCACCCCACGGTAGTAGGAGCAACATCGACGCCACAACAGCAGCAGCAGCAGCAGTAACAATCGCAGAGCGGCAGCAGCACCAGCAGCCATAGCACCCCACACTCCACAACAGTAGAGGCAACAGCGGGGCAGCATTAGCAGCAGCAGCAACACAAGCAGCGGTAACACGGCAGGGCAGCAGCAGTCTCACCCCCCCCAGCCCACCCTCACACTAAAAGAATTGCCAGCAATGCCACGGTACCAGCAGCAATTCCAGCAGCGTCCACGAGACAAAAGCAGCAGTAGCCTCAGGACGAAGCGACTTTACAGCACTAGAAACCGCAGCAGCGCAACGGCAGCAGCGCAACGGCAGCAGCGCAACGGCAGCAGCAACAACGACAGCAGCAGCAACAGCAACAGCAGCAGCAGCACCAACAACAAGAGCAGCAGCAACAACAACAACAGCAGCAGCAACAGCAACAGGACCAGCAACAACAACAGCAGCAGCACCAACAACGGGAGCAGCAACAACGACAGCAGCAGCAATAGTGACACGAAGAGGACACCACCATCAGCAACAGAGCGGAAAGAAAAGTCTTCGTCACAGCAGCTTCACAGCTGTAGACGTATCAGCAACAGAAAAGCAGCGCAAGCAGCAGAAATAACAGAGCTGCAGCAGAAACACCAGGAATAGCAGGACTGCTGTGGCAGGGGCAGCAGCAGCAGCAGCAGCGACTGCTTCCACACAGCAGCTAATGACGACAGAGGAACGAAAAGAGGAGCAGCAACGACATATACATGTATATACATATATATATATATATATGTATAGCGTCTGTACATATACGTAGTATCCGTATACATTATACATGCACTATATATATATATATAACCTATACACAAGCACACATATGTTCAAATATATACTTGCCTGCATGTATGTATATGTATGTATATATACATATATATATATATATATATATATATATATATATATATATATATATATGTACCAGCTGCATACACATATACAGTGAGCAGCCGCAACAAGCGAAACTGCGAAGTCAAGCAGTTAACCAACCGCAGCAGCAACAACAACAGGAACAGCAACTACAACAGCAGCAGCAACAGCAGCAACGACAACAGCAGCAGCAAAACGAGCAGCATAAAGAATGTAGGGAGAGGGAGAGACTCGCGCATATAAGCGCTACTGCAGTATTGCAGGAGAACTACACCAGCAGCGAGTCACTATCTGTAGCAGTGCCACATCTCTGTTGCCGCAACAAAATACGGGAAAAAGAACAAGAAGAAGAGGAGCACCAGCAGTATTATACACCTGCAGCAACGTTCATATATACATATATATATATATATATATGTATATAAATGCGATATCACGTACACACAAATATGTGCATATGTATGTATATATAAATATTTAAGTATCTGTCTCTCTCTATATATGCACATGTGTATGTATGTATACATATATATATATATATATATACATGTATACGTATATATTTTCAGTATTGAGCATAAGTGCGGCACAAGGTAGATATACAGGCGACATACGCAGTAGATCCTGGTCAACAGCCTCCCGGTATTTCTGGTTGCTTAGCTGCTCGTAGGCAGCGCGCAGCAGCAGAAACTGCTCCCCGACTGCTGCAGCAGATGCCGCAGCGTCACGTGGTTTGCAGCAGCAGTCGCTACTACGTCTGCTGCACTTCCCACGGCCGTTGCTGCTGTCTGTATGATCTGCAGAAGCAACAGCAGCAGCATTATACGAGGAGCCAGCGGCAGCGGCAGCCGCAGAGGCAGCAGCACCGGCAGGCGCTCTACAAGTACTCCCGTTGTCGCCGAGGGAAGTTGCGGTAGCAGCAGCAGCAGGAGCAGAGCCAGAAGCCGCTGCAGCTTCAGCAGCAGAAGCAACAGCTGAAGCAAAACAAGTAGCCGTTGCAGCATCAGCATAAGCAGCAGCAGAAGGGAAGGAGGTAACAGCAGCCGGGGCGGCAGCGTTAGCAGCAGCAGTAGCCAATCTGCTGCAAGTGTTGCTACAAGTGTAACTGCTACTTAACGTATATGCTGCTGCTACAGCACATGCAGGGCTGTTACGAGGGTCACTTGATTCCTCCGGGTGTTCAGAGGCCCCATCGTAGATCTCTTCTGCAGCAGCCGCAACACTACTCAGTTGCTGCTGTCATTCGCCACAATATAACTTACGTCCAACTGCTGCTGCTGCTCCTCCTCCGCCTGGTCTCGCAGCTGCTGCTCCTGCTCCCGCTGCTGCACCTGCTGCTGCAGCTGCTCCTTCTGCTGCTCCTTCTGCTGCTGCTGCTGCTGCTTTTGCTGCCGCTCGTGCTTCAGGTGCTGCTGCAGTTGCAGCTGCTCCTGCTCCTGCCGTTTTTGATGCTGCTGTTGCTGCCGCTGCTGCTGGTGGTGCTGCTCCTGCTGTTGCTGCTGCTGCGTTTGCTGGAGACAGCCACACCTCTCGGCAGAGCTAGAGCAGGAGCAGCAGCCTGCTAGTGCCTTGTGAGAGTGCTGCTGCTGTTTGTCGGGGTGCCATCGTAGTGCAGCACGTTTGTACGCAGCACGAATATCTACAGCAGAAGCAGATGGAGATATACCGAGAACTTCATAAGGACTTAGTTGCTTCGACATAGCAGCAGGTGTTATATAACTGCTGCTGCAGCAACAATTGCTGCCCGCCCTACTTTGTGCACATTTCATCTTCTCGTCCTCTCGGTCCTCCTGTACCATCCTTTCCACATTCCGCTGCTGCTGCTGCCGCTGATGCTGCTGCTGTCACTGCTGCTGCTGCTGCCACTGCTGCTGCTGCTGCCACTGCTGCTGCTGCTGCCACTGCCGCTGCTGCTGCCGCTGCTGCTGCCCGCAGTTCTCCCAGTCCTCCGGCTGCTCGCTGCTCGTGTCTTTTCTGTTGTTTCTGCGGCGGCTGCTGCTGCTGCTGCTCATCGATCTCCCTCGCTGCTCTCGTGTTTCCTGTTGCTGTTGCTGTTGCTGCAGCAGCAGCTGCTGCCGCCGCTTAGACGGCCCCCGTTGCTGCTGCTGCTGCGGCTGCTGCTCTTGATGCAACTCTCGCTCTTCCCACACTCCTGGTTCACCGCGTTTCTATTGGTGTTGCTCCTGCTGCCGCGGTTGCTGCGCCTGCGTCTGTTGCTGCTGCTGCATCTGTCCCTGCTGCGGTTGCTGCTGCTGTTGCTGCTGCTGTTGCTGCTGCGGTTGCTGCTGCCGCTGCTGCTCCTGCTGCGGCTGCGGCTGTTGCTGCGCAAGCGCCTCTTCGCGGAGCCGATGTGCAACGCGCGTGTCTCCTTCTCGATTCGCTGCTGCATCTGCTGCTGCTGGGGCTGCTACTGCGCAGCTGCAGCAACAGAGGACGCTTCTCCCGCGGACAAGTCTCCTGCTGCTGTCTCTTGAGCGTGTGAGTCCTCTGCCGCAGAGTGCTCTCTCTTGCTTGGGCAGTAGCAGCACCTCCCGTAACAGCATATATATATATATATACATATATACACACATATATACATATATATATATATATGTGTAGATATGTATATATGTCGCTGCTACCGCTCCGCCGCTGCGCCAGCAAGGGACGCTCCTCTCACAGACAAGACTCCTGCTGCTGTCTCTTGAGCGTGTGAGTCTTCTGCCGCAGATTGCTCTTTCTTACTTGGGCAGTAGCAGCACCTACTGTAACAGCATATATATATATACATATATATATATATATTTTTCATATATATACATATATGCATGTGTATGTACGTATATATATCGCTGCTACTTCTGCGCGGCTGTACCAGTAAGGGGCACTCCTCCCACAGACAAGTCTCGTGAGCTTGCGAGGCCTTCTGCAGCAGACTGCTCTTTCTTATTTGCGCAATTGCAGCGCTTCCTCTAGCAGCCTCTCTACATAAATGCATGTATACATATATATACCTATATCTTAATACATTCGCTAATATATACCTTTATATGTATATATATATATATATATATATATATATATATATATATATATATATATATATATATGCTGCTCCGCTGTGGGAGCAGCCCACCAGGACAAACAGTAGACGACAACCGGAGTCGCTACTTATGAGAGGGACTCGGCCACTGCTAGTAGCAGATGATACAGTCGTACAAGGCTAACGGACAAATTCTTTCTCTGCTCATTAGTTTTCCCTTTCCGCCACGAACGTGCAGAGTACAAATATTTGCCTATATTTGTAGTATGTAGGTGTGTGTACATAGACATATGGGTGTACCCGTGCATATGCATATACACGAATATATCCTGATATGATAGGGGGCACATTTTCATGCTTAGGACTAAGCGGTATGCGACCACGTGAACTTTACGCATGCATGACGACATATATATATATATATACATGCAGATGCATCTGTTTGAAGATATATAGATACGTAAATGTAGACCACAGAAAAAGCTACATCAACAAGGGAGGCTGCAATGCGGGACGTTAACGCACGTAAATATATATATATATATATATATGTATATATATATATATACATATATATGTAAAACCTGAATATCTCTGAAGGCAACCCCCATGAGCGGGAATGCATAAGAAGTGTGAAAGAGAGGCACCCCTCCAGAGCTGCAGAGACCACAAAGCGAAAAAGCAGAAGCAGAGAAGGAGAAGGAGAACAAGAAGATGGAGGAGAAGAAGAAGAAATCCTCCTATTCTTAAAAATCTATGAAGCGCACCACCAACCTGAAACAAGCTTTTTCAGAGTGTATACCTACATATATATCTACATATATGTGTATATACATAGATGTACGTATATACGTGTACATTACATATAAAAACATACGTACATATATATATATATATATATATATACGCGTGAAAGGTCCACAGGGAGACACGCAGACACAAGCCGGCGTTTGTAAGAGGCAGACCGACCAGCAGAGAAAGAAGACAACGGCCACTATATCAACGGTAAGATCGCCCGACAATACTAGAAGAATTGTTAGTACCGAGTCTGACGCCTACGGACATATACATACACATACATACATGAATACATACATACATACATATATGCACACATACATACATATGTATGTACATTTATAGAACGGCTAGCAGACAGACGAGAAAACCAGTGTTTGGCACGTATTGCGGCCCTGCGATATCATAAAACGGTTCCACTAGCAAATTTCGGTGCGCATGGACGTACATATATGTATACATATATATGCATATATATATATCTGTGTATAGATTGCCTAGCATAGAAACAAGAAAGGGAGGCCGCTCTATATTTCAAATGTATGATAGCCCCCACCTCACTACAAAAAGGTTTAACCAGCGAACACGTACGCGTATCGATATGTACATACGTACATATACATACAAATCTATGTATATACATATGCATGCTAACATATGTATAGATCGGATAGCAGATACAAAAAAAACTCAAATGTCAAATGTATGGTAGCCCGACAAGACCAGAGAAAAGTTTTACTAGCAAAACCTGGACATAGATATATCTATACACATTCATATACATATATATACATTTATATATATATATACATATATCCTCATTTATACATGTATAAATATATACATATATATGTGTATACATACATACATACATGGACGTAAAAGTGTAGATCGCCCAGCAGAGAGACAACAAAAGAAAGTGACTCTAGATTTCAAATTTACGACAGCCCCACAATAATATAGAAGGTACTACTAGCTAAAAAAGGGATATCTGTTTGCGTGGAGAGTCCACAGAAAGAGACATGTAGTGAGGGAATAGTAGAAGCAGCTAGGCCTGCTTTATATATACATATATATGTGTATATATACGTGTATGTCTATATGCATATGATGAGTGAATATTAGAGATAGCTAGATCTGCTCTGCATGCATGCAGCGGTCGTCGGCCGGTCATCGTCTGCCGTGTTTATGCACCCGACCTCTACTTGCGCTCGTCTTTCTCTATGAGGAGACGCGTATATGCATGCGTTAATATAACCGTTTACATACGTCTTCATACATAATATATATATGTACATATAGATATATATACATTTATATATGAAGGGCCACTTACGTACATAACAACGGTCCACAGGTGTGTAAGGGTATGCGCATATATAGGTATATATATATATATATATATATATATATATGTATACATACGTATTTGTACATATATATATGTATATATGCGTATGTTGAGTGAATACTAGAAGTAGCTATATCTGCTGTGCAGGCATGCAGCGGTCGTCGGCCAGTCATCTTCTGCGGTATATATACACCCGAGCTCCACTTGCGCTCGTCTTTCTCTATGAGGAGACGCGTATATGCATGCGTTCATATAATCGTGTATAGACGTCTTCATACATAATGTGTATATGTATATAGAGATATATATACATGCATATATGGAGGGCCAACGGCGTACATAACTACGGTCCACAGGTGTGTAAGGGTATGCGCATATACATGTATATATATATATATACATATCTATGCATACATATTTGTACATATATATATGTGTGCATATGCTGAGTGAATACTAGAAGTAGCTATATCTGCTTTGCAGGCATGCAGCTGTCGTCGGCCAGTCATCTTCTGCGGTGTATATACACCCGAGCTACACCTGCGCTCATCTTGCTCTATGAGGAGACGCCTATATGCATGCGTCTATGTGGGCATCTATATACGTCTTGATACGTGATGTATATATATGTATATAAATCTCTCTCCATATATACACATATATATATGTATATATATATGGAAGGACACTTGCGTACATAACTACGGTCGACAGTGTGTAATCGCATGCGCACACATATGTACATATATATATATATATATATACGCATATATATATGTATATATATACATATATGTATATACGCATACGATCAGTGAATAACAAATTTAGGTAGACCTGTTTTGCATGCATCCCGCGGCCGCTGGCCCATCACCTTCTTAGTTCTATATACACCCGAGCTGCACTTGTCCTCGTCTTTCTATAGCCGGAAAGGCGTATATGCGTGCGTCTATATGGGCGTTTGTATACGTGTCGACATTCACTATATACGGTCAAACATATATACACATATGAAGGTACACCCGCATACATAACTACGGACCACAGGCGTATAAGCGTATGCGCATATATATATATATATATATATATATATATGTATATGTATCGACTCCGCTGTATGTTGCGATACATCTGCTCATACAGGAGACGCACATGTATGTGTGAACCGAGTGTCCACGACACATACGCGTACATACGTATATATATACACGTATATATTCCGTCGTACATATATATGTATATATGCATATATATATATATATATATATATATATTGGCCGCTATATGTTGTGATGCATCTGCTCATACGCACGACGCACATGCATGCGTAAGCAGCATATCCATAACACATACGCACACGTATTCATAAGTATATCCATATACACGTATATGTATATATATATCTACGTACATGTATATATTTGGGTTCGCTGTATATTGTGATACATCTCCTTATACACAAGACGCACATGTACGTGTAAGCAGAGTGCCCGCAAGACATACGATATATGTACACATATATGTATATATGTACATATATATATATATATACATACGCATATATTTACGCGTACGTATATAAATATATATCTTACGGGACAGCTGAAGGCATATGTCACTCTGCGGACGGGTACATCGCCACACAATTGTAAAGCGATATCCTCTGGGTCTGCTGCTTCTTCTAAGTCTTCGCCTTACCTCGAGACGTATATGTCTCTGTAGATAGGACGTCTTCATCATACAGGCATATATATATATATATATATATATTTGTGTACGCATGCATACACATATATATATATATATGTATACATAGATATATGTTGGAGCAGCTGCATTTATACGCATATCTAGGCGTACATCGGAGCAGCTGCATGCATACGTCGGTTCGCTGTGAGAGACGCTGCTATACATTTGTAAAGCGGCGATATATTCTTAAATTTGCTCTATGTCATGGTAAGTCTGCGCGTCCGGAAGACGCTCATGTGTATGTGTCAATAGAATATGTACAACACATATGCGTACACATATATATATATAGATATAGATATAGATATATATATATATATACGCGCGTCCATATATATATATATATATACACGCGTCCATATATATATATATATATATAGTGGAGCCGCTGAAGGCTTATATGTCACTTTGCGGACGGGTACATTGCTACACAATTGTAAAGCGATATTCTCTGAGTCTGCTTGTTCTCTAAAGTCTCCGTCTGCTACCACGAGACGTGAATGTATGTGTAGATGGAACATCTTCATCATACATGCACGTATATATATAAATATATTTGTATATACACGTATGTGTGTATATATATATTTGTATGTATATGTATATATAGATATATATATGTATATGTATATATATATATATATATTGGAGCACCTGCATCTATACGCATATCTAGACGTGCACTGGAACAGCTGCATGCGTAGGTTGGTTTGCTATGAGATACGCCGGTCCACATTTGTAGAGTGGCGATATAATTTCAGGTCTGCTATATGTCACGGTGAGACCGCTTGTCCTGAAGACGCGTACGCATATGTGAACAGAATATGTACAACACATACGCGTATGTATATATATATATATATATGTATAAATATATGAATACATACGTATCACACGTAAGCGTATAAACACATACATATGTATATATATATATATGGATATGTATATGTATAGATATATGTACACATATGTATCTCTGTATGTAACGCTGAATCATGAGGAGTCGGCAACGGCGGTGATAAGAGCAGCAGTAGAAGCATCATGTACAGAAGTAGCAGCACTGGCACATGCTGTGAAAGCAGCAGTGCGTATACAGAAGCAGCATATCGAAGGCCACCGAGTAGCTAGGCAGAACGTCTCAACATACAAGGAGTACACAGACTGGTATTGTTCCGACAGCAGAGTCTCTACCTAGCTGCGTCTGCAGCTGCTGTTGCTTTTCTATAGTAGCGTATGTGGGCATGTGTGCCTGTAAATTGTGACTATATTCACATATATATATATATATATATATGTATATATATATATATATTTATGTGTATGTAGATATATTCGTATGTATGTTTGGACATATGTGTGTATATTTATATATATATATATAGGTATACACAGAAGCGAAGGAACGTCACTAGCAGTGCCTGTTGACACATGAGGAGTATAGGGATAGGCGTTGTTCCTACAGTAGCATCTCTTCCTTGCTGCTGACGCCGCTGCTGCTGCTGCGTTTCATAGTAGCATACGCGAATATGTGTGCCTGTGTATCGTGACCACATATATGTGTGTATATATATATATATATATCCATATATTCATACATACATATATATATATATATACGCATCTATACATACAGAAGCAAACAAATGTGTACGTATATATATATATATATATATATATATATATATGTACATATATGCATACACAAGCAGACAAACATCAAGAGCAGCGGCACCTGTTGACGAGTGATGACTGCAGCGACACGTCTTTTTCGTACTCTAGGCGCTCTTTTGCTGTTGCTCTTGCTGCTGCTGTTGCTGTGCTTTATTGTAGTAGCAGACGCTGGCAATAGATGAGTATTCTGACTAGCGGTCGGTATATGCAGAGACGCAAGGCTACATCGAAGACTAGCAGGCAGGAAAGTAGGAGTACTTGCTAGCAAATAAGACCACACGAACACATCTTGTTTCTGCAGCAGTCTCTCTTCCTCGCTGCTGCTGCTGCTGCAACTGCCTTCTTATACTAGCGTACGCGAGTGTGTGTTTCTGGGTAGCCTGGTGGGATACATACATAATGTACATACGCATATAATATATATATATACATATACATTTTCATACACAAGCAAAGATATATCAGTAGCCGAACCTGTCGACACATGAGGAGTACCGAGACAGGTTTTGCTTCCAGAGTAGTTTCTTCCTCCTGCTGCTGCTACTGCTGCGTTTGTAAAGTATCATATGTGAGCGCGTGTGCCTTTGTATCGTGACTATGTATATACATGTATATAAGTATATACGTACGTATACGTGTGTATAGATATATATATGTGCACATATATATGTGTATATATGCATACACAAGCAACAGGGTTTCACTGGCGGTAGCTGTTGACACAGGAGGGGTATACAGACACATCATTTTCCTACAATTGTGTCTCCTTTCTGTCGCCGCTGCTGCTGCTGCATATTCATAATATCACACGTGAACACGTGTGCCTGTTTGTCGTGACTATATATATATAAATATATGTATATACATGTTTATGTGTCTATAAGATTACGCCTATGTATATATATATGTATGCCTATGTGTATGCATGTATATATATGTATGTGTATATGTATGTAAGTACGTATGTATTGGTATATATAGGTATGTGTCTGTATATGTATGTATGTACATACATATGTATATATATATATGTATATGTACACACGCAAGCGAAGGAATGTCCGTACCTGCGCCTGTGGACACATGAGGAGGTATACGGACCCCCGTTCCTGCTGCTGCTGCTGCTGTGCTTCTACAGCAGCAGATGCGAATTCGTGTGCTTGTGTATGGTGAGTACTTGTGTTATATATATATATATATACACGTGCCCGTGTATCATGAAAAGAGGCACATATATATATACATATATACATGTATACATATATATACATATATATACATATATGCGAGCAAAGTGGCATCGATAGCAGCTGCTTTTGTTGTCGTCTCACTCCGGCTGCTGCTGCTGCTGTCCCCGCTGCTGCTGCTGCTGCCCCCGCTACTGCTCCTGCTGTCGCTGCTGCCGCTGCTGCTGCCGCTGCTGCTGCTGCTGTTGCCGCTGCGTTGGGCGACGTCGTTGGAGGACTAGGCGTCCCCTCGTCCTCTCCTATCGATACGAAGCACGTAACTCGCAGTAGTAGTAGTGGCAGCATCATTGATGGTGATAGTGTAGTACTAGCAGTGGTAGCAGCGATAGTAGTAGCAGCCGGAATAGTAGTAGCAATAGTAGTACTGCTAGTAGTAGTGGCAGCAGTAGTAGTAGTAGTAGTGATAGTAGTAGTAGTAGTGGTACTACTAGTAGTAGTAGCGGTACAGGGAGTCGTAGTAGCAGTGCTGTACAGGGGACACAGACCTTGTCCACCCACGCTGAGAAGCACCAGCAGCTCTTTTCACAGCGACATGTCGCATTCCTTGCTGGACGGTTCTTTCCTTCTCGGTTCCTTCTCTTTTCTTTCTCCTTTTTGGTGAATGGAGAACTGATTCTTTCCCATAAGGTGTAACTGCCGCAGTAGGTAGGTAGATGTGTGTCTCTTCGTTGCTATTGCCGGGTGCTGGTGCTGCTGCTGCAGCAGTCTCAGCTTCTTCGTGTTGCTGCAACATATAGAACGAATTTCCGTATTTTCTCGGATTTATCAGAATCTTTTTGTTCCCATTATTATCTATTCACTGGTGTGCTCTACAGCTGCTTGTGCTGGTTTTTCATCATCTTCTTTTTCCTGTCGGCTTCCGTAACTTTTCAAATAAATCAAAATCTCCCTCTTCTCTGTTATTTGTACATGTGTATATATGTATATACAGGTATACGTACATATACGTACATGCATATATATGTTTTTCCGTTTTCGTGCCTCATATACATATATATATATGTACATAAGTATACGTATATATACGCATACGTATATATATGTGTTCTTCCAGTTTCGTGCCTTTCACTTATATATATATGTATATACGTATACGCACATACACGTGTATGTACAGACATGTGTTCTCCCACGTGTGTGGCTTCCGTATATGTATATGTGTGTACGAGTATACGTGCATATACGTATATGTATATACATGTGTGCTTCCATTTATGTGCCTTTCATAGCTGCTGCTGTTGCTGATTTTCCTTCTTCTTCCTCTCCTACTTATTCTGTCTGTCATGTATGCAGCAGCTGCAGCTACCCGTAGAATACAAGAGGTTAGACAGACAAAAAAGACGGTCATAGCATAGTAGTAGTGATACTAGTAGTAGTAACCCCTCATGTCCTTCAGGTGTGTCGTGGCGGTAATGCTAGCTTCTTTTTCTCTCAGTTTCTTTCTATTTCGAATAGCAAGTGAGTAGTAGTGTTAGAAGTTATGGCCATAGTAGCCCATCATGCCTCTCCAGTAGGTGGTAACGGTACTTCTAGCTTCTTTCTTTATTTGTCTCTTTCTCTTTCAAGTAATAAGTGGGTAGTAGATGTAGCAGTGTAGTAGTTATAGTAGTAGTAGTAGTAGGCCGTGATGCCTATCAGGTACGTGGTAGCGGTAATGCTAGCTTCTTTCTTTCTGTGTCTCTTCCTATTTCGGGTAATAAGTGGGTAATAGTGGTAGTGGTGTAGTAGTTATAGCACCTCATGCCTCTCAGGAAGGTGGTAGCGGTAGGTATAACCTCTTTCTCTTTTTCTTTCTGTTTCGAGTAATAACCGGGTAGTAGTGGTATTAGTGTAGTAGTAATCGTAGTAGTAGTAGTAGTAGCCCATCATGCCTCCCAGGTAGGTGGTAGCGGCAGTTCTAACTTCTTTTTTTCTCTTCTTCTCCCTGCTTCAAGTAATAAGTGGGTAGTGGTGGTAGAAGCGTAGTAGTTAGCAGTGTAGCCGTTATAGCAGTAGTAGCTCAGCATGCCTCTCAGGTAGGTGGTTGTGGTGGTAGTGACTTCTTTCTTTCTTCCTTTTTATTTTGTGGTAGTAGCTCTTCTTGGTTCTTTCTTCCGCACTATTAGTAGTAGTAGTAGTAGTCGTAGTGGTAGTCGTAATACTCGTTGTAGCAGTAATAGTAGGAGAGATACAGACAGACTGGTGCACATAAGCAGCTATCACGCCTCTCAGCTGGTAGTGGTGGTTGTGCCTTCTTCCTCCTTTGTCGCTTTCGATCCTACGTAGTGATAGTAAGAGTAGTCCGTATACATCCCCACATATACGTACGCATATATATATATATATATATATATATATATATATGTACTAGTGATACTAGTACTAGTGATACCTGTAGTGCTAGTAGTAATCACAGGCGTAGTAGCGATACCAGTACTATATTATATATAATATATATATATATTTATTGATACTTCAACGATATAACTATGAAATATATATATATATATATATATGTACTACTTATACGTGTAGGGCCACCAGTAATAGTAGTATTAGTTTAACGATATAACTATGAAATATATATATATATATATATGTACTACTTATACGTGTAGGGCCACCAGTAATAGTAGTATTAGAAGCAGTTGTCGTAAAGCGCGGAAGAGCCGTCATCTGCTGCTGCCCGCTGCTACTGCTGCTACAGCTGCTGCTGCTGCTTCTACTGCAGCTGCATTTTCTCTGAGTTCCTCTGCAGTACTCCCCCTTCTTCTTCTCTCTATGCTCTTTCTCCTCTATGATCTGGGTGCCGCTGTATATCAACTCCTTTTCCATGTGATACAGGTGCACCAGCAGGGGGGCCGGCCTTTGTGCCACATTACATATATGGAGAGGAGTACATAGTATATGGTGATGCTATACTAAGTGTCATACGAAGCTCAGGACTAGGTGAAGTGGTGCTGGTAGGTCTTACGTAATAGACGGTGCTGCTACGTCATATATCAGGTGCTACCAGCAGCAGCAGCGGCAGCAGTTATACGGCGGCTACGATCAGCTGTTGCAGCACCCGAGAGCCCGCAGTTGTAGTAGTCGTAGTAGCAGTAGTAGTAGTAATACTAGCAGGGGCAGCTGTAGCAGCAGCAACAGAAAACTGCTACGAGCGGTAGCTGATAATGGACGCAAAGCGCACACATATATACATACATATATATATAGTGTGCGCATAGAAGTATATATATATATATATATATATACACAAAGGTTAGCCGCACATATATACAGACATATATCTTTAGTGTGCGCATACAAGTATATATATATATATATAAGCGTATGGCGCGCATATATACATGCATATATACGTAGTGTGCGCATATAAGAATATATGTATATATATGTACGCGGACGTGTGGCGGACACATATACGTACATACACACATAGTGTGCGCATATAAGTATATATATATATATATATATAAAGACGTAATGCGCACATATATGCATACATATATATATAATGTGCGCATATAACTATACATATATATATATGAACGTATGTATACAGCCGTATCGATATTGGCACTTTTGAGTACTTCCATGAGACGTCTGGAATGACTGACTGGTCAAGTGGAAGCCACACTGTGTGTTTGTGTAGCCTGGAGCGTACAAGTATACATGTATATGAATATAGATGGAGAGATAGATAGATACATAGATAGATAAAGTATGTATGCGTGCTAGTTTCATCATTATTGGCACTTTGGAATCCTTTCGTAGGACGTCTGGAAGGACTGACTGGTGGAGTGGGAGCTGAACATATATATGTATTATCTGTACAAACCGATGTATACGGGCGTAGTCCTGTCATTTTTGGCGCTTTTAATACTTTTACAAGACGTCTGGAATGACTGACTGGTCAAGTGGAAGCTACATTGTATGTTTATGTAGCGCGGCGCATATGATTGTATATATATATAAATATATATATGTTGATACAGATAGATAGATAGATAAAGGTATGTATGCACTCGTAGCTTCACCACTGTTGACGCTTTCGAATACTCTCATAAGATGTCTGGAAGGACTGACTGGTCAAGTAGCAGCTGAATTGTGTGTTTGTATAGCGTGGCACATATAAGTATATGCATATACATTATATATCTACGTGGGTGTACATACATAATATATATCGATGGAGGTATGTGTACACTCGTAGTTCTATCACTACTGCCACTTTTAAGTACTTTCAGAAGACGTCTGGAACGACTAGCCGGGCAAGGGGAAGCTGTATTGCATGTTTTTGTAGCGTGACAAGTGGAATATCGAGATTGAAACAAGAAGCGGCCAGTCACTATCGCAGCATCTGCAGCAGCAGCACCAGCAGCGGCGACGGTAACGGCAGCAGCAGCAGCAGCGGCAGTGGCAAGGGCAGCAGCAGCCGCACAGCAGCAGCGCCAGCGGCAGCAGTAGCAGCAGCAACGGCAGCGGGAGCGCAGCAGCAACAGCAGCCGCAGCAGCGGCAGCAGCGCCGACGGGAGCGACAGCAGCGGCGGCAGTCGCAACAGAAGCAGCAGCAGCAGCAACAGCAGCACTGTCGCAGCAACAGTAGCACGGTAGCAGCAACTGCAGCAGCACTAGGAGCAGCAATAGTAGCAGCAGTAGTGGTAGCTGTAGCGGCAACGCCCCGCCCAGGCCGGGCTGCGAGACCGTGTGCCCTCGTCGCAGCAGCAGCAAGAACCCCACAATTTCTTCTCCTCCATAAAGGGGGGTTCTGAAGTATTTCGTTGCATGGACTTTAGTATTAACGAATACATCAACAGCAGCAGCAGCGCCCGGCAGCAGCAACAGCAGCAGCATCAGCGCAACAATAGCAGCAGCGACAGCAGCGGCAACAGCAGCAGCGACGGCAGCAGCACCAGCAGCAGCCACAGCAGCAGCAACAGCAGCAGCAACAGCAGCAGCAACAGCAGCAGCAGTAGCAACTCGTGTCTAGGTAATTCGACAAAGGGGGAGGCGGGAGATACAGAGATATCTAAGTCAAAAGTACCTCAACAGCGGCAGCAGCAACAGCAGCAGCCACAGCAGCAGCAACAGCAACAGCAACGGCAGCAGCAACAGCAGCAGCAACAGCAACAGCAACAGCAACAGCAACAGCAACAGCAGCAGCAGCAGCAGCAGCAGCAACAGCAGCACAGCGTCACCAGCACAGCGACACCAGCAGTAGTAGTAGTCGGTCCTGCTGCTCTCTCAGTCACTAGAGGCTGCAGCAGCAGCACCAGCAACAAGGGGGGGTGGCGAGAGTTTTTGTAGCGCAAATAAATAAAGCATCCCTGAGCGACAGCAGCAACAACGGCAGCCGCAGAAATAGCAGCAGCAACAGCAGCAGCAGGAGTAGTAGCGGATTCGTGTTTTCTCTACGCGATTCAGGGCAGCGGCAGCAGCAGCAGCAAAGTGGGCGGTGCTACATACTGTTGCACAGGCTTCTCGTATTCGCGGACAGCAACAGCAAAAGCAGCAGCAACAGCAAAAGCAGCAACAGTAGTATATTTTGGCTTCTAGATTAGTAATAGAAGCAGCAACTGCTGACTTTCATGGAGCAGCATCAGCAGCCGCAGACGACTATGAGCCGCGCGCGGCACGTGGTGATTTTCCTCATTTCTGGTGAATGAATACGTCGCAAATGTCATAGACGAACTGTTTTAACTCTTCATACAATATCAGCAGATTTTTCGTACACATATTTACATACGTGTATGTGTATTTATCTTTGTTATCACATGGCTTTCGTATACATACAAACGTGATCTACATCTATATTGTCACAAGCCTTTCGTGTACATACATGCGTATATATATATATATATATATATATATATATACATATCGTTGTCGCCAGACTTTTGTATACATATATGCATATATATATATATATGTATATATATAACAGTGTCACTGAACTCTCGCATACGTCATACATGTAACGAAGCGACTGCTTTTGAACAGTAAGAAGGACTGTAAACCTTCTCAAATATATGAATATGTTAGTGCAGCTATTCGCACATAAGTATATATATGTATGTAGATGTATACATATTTATAGGGGAGCGGCTGTCGCCGTAGAGAAGGAGAACAACAGTAAACGTTCATAAATGTATGAGTATGTCAGTGCATACACCTTTTTGTATAGAACAAAAGTGTCGTCGCAGTACTGTAAAACGGACGATAGAACGTCCATGGATACGTACGTATGTCAGTGCAATTTTTTCTATACGTACACATTTATATACATATATATTTAAGATACAGATACGTGTATACATATGTACATATTTATACATAAAAATATGTATATATATATGTATATATGTTTATATATATGTATCTTTATTTAACGAAGCGACTGTCATAATACGGTAGGAAGGACAGCAAACCCTAATAACTATACGACTATGTTAGCGCGGAGTCTGTATATATATATATATATATATATGTATGAATATGTAACGTACGGCTGTCGTAATACAGAGTAATACGGCAACACGCGTCTTCAATATATAATTTTGTCTGTGCAGATTTCTGTACATATACGTACATGTGTATATATATATATACATATGTATATATATATCCACGTACATATATGGCTATGTATAAGAAAGTAGCTGTCGTGGCACACTAAGCAGGAGCTTCAATATATATGTAAATACATATATATGCGTATGACAGTGCGGACTTTAGTGTATATATATATATATAACCAAGCGGCTGTCACATCGCAGTAAGAAGGACAGTAAGATCACGAAAATATATCAGTATCTCACTTACACATATATATATATATGTATATATGTATATATATATGTATATGTATAAATACGAATATGCGTATATATACGTATGCATATCTATATGTACGGATATATGTATATATATATGAATATATGTGTAGGAAGGCGCCTGGCACACTGCAGTAACGATGAGAGTGGAAATACACAGATGTACGGGTGTGAGGTCAGCGCAGCAGCTCAGAAGAAATAAGTGAAGAGGACGCTGACGAAGCAGCAGCAGCAGCAGCAGCAGCAGCCGCAGTTACAGACGACCACGATCAGCGAGCCAGAGATCTGAAGCAGTTTTACTACTACTACTACTACTATCCGAAAACTATTACTAGTAGTACTACTATTACTAGTACTACTACTATCCGAAGATTGCTACTTCCGCAATTGCCGAGCGTCATATTTAACGTAACAGCAGAAAGAGTAGACAATTAGAAAAGAAGAAGAAGAAGAAGAAGAAGAAGGAGCAGAAAAAGAAGAAGAAGAAGAAGAAGGAGCAGAAGAAGTAGAAGAGGAAGAAGAAGAAGAAGAAGAAGAAGAAGAAGAAGAAGAAGGAAATGAAGAAGGAGAACAGTAGAAACAATAGCTGCAGCTTTGTTGTCTATTGCAGCAGCTACAGAAATCCAAGTAGATCTGTACACGTTCATAGTGCAGCCTTTGTGAGACTTATTCTTATCGATAAGATAAGAGCAGCAGCGTTAGCAGTAGCAGCAGGATTAGCAGTAGCAGCAGCATTAGCAGTAGCAGCTGCTGTAGCAGCAGGAGCAGCATCAGCAGCAGCGGCCGTAGCAGCAGCAGCAGTAGCAGCAGCAGTAGCAGCAGCAGCAGTAGCGGCAGCAGCAGCAATAGCAACAGCAGCAGCAGCAGCAGCAGCAGCAACGTTGGCAGCAGCAACAGCAGCAACAAGAGCAGCAGCCGCAGCAACAAGCGCAGCAACAGAAGCGCAGCAGCAACAACCGCGGGAACAGAAGCAACAGCAACAACAGCAGCAATAGCAACGACAGCAGCAGCAACAGCAACAACAGCAACACCAACAGCAGCAACAGCAACGACAGCAGCAACAGCAGGTACAGCAGAAACCGCAACAACACCAACAACAGCAACAGCAGCAGCAGCACCAGCAACAGGAACAACAGCAGCGGCTGCGACAACGCCGCAGCAACAGAAGCGCCAGCAGCGCCAGTACCAACAGCAGCAAAAGCAGCAACAGCACCAATCGGGCAGCAGTTACAAACAGCAGCAACAGCAGCAGCAGCAGCAACAGCAGCAGCAGCAACAACAACAGCAACAGCAACAGCAGCAACAGTAGCGGCAACAGCAACAACAGCAGCGACAGCAGCAGCAACAGCAGCGGCAACAGCAAGAACAGCAGCACCAGCAGCAGCAACCGCAGCAACAACAGCAGCAACAGCAGCAGCAACAGCAACAACAGCAGCAGCACTACATCGTTCAAAATGGCAATGAAGTACTTGTCTTTCAACAAGGAACTTCATGATGCAGTGGACCTCAAACAGTGGCTGAAGGAGGTAGGCAGGCAGTCTATATATCATATCTGTATGTGTGGGCTTTGTACATGCAAAAGTAACACAGGCATATATGCAGGCGTATATACAGGCAGACAGTCTTGATTTTCTTCTCTGTAGGTGTGTGTGTGTGTGTGTGTGCTTTTCTCTGTGAAACAGCACATATATATGTGTGTATATATATATATATATATATATATATAATATATACGTATATTTATACGTATGCTACCTCGTAGCTTCTAAGAAGGTAGTCAGGCGGTCTACATGTTCTTCTCTGTACGTGTGCGTGTGTGTGTGTGTGCTTTTGAATATGTAACATCATGCATGCGTATACACAAACGTATATATAGGCAGCAGTCTACACATTATCTCTGTGTATGCGTGTGTGTGCTTTTGTAAATAAGATATGCCATGCACCCATACATACCTACGTATATAGAGGCAGGCGGTCAACATATCATCTCTTTATGTGTGTGTATGTGCTTTCGTATATGAGATATGTCGTGCATCCATATATGTAGACGTGTATAGAGGCAGCAGTCTACGTATGATCTGTGTATGATGTACGTGTGTGTGCTTCTGTATAGAAGCCATGCCATGCGCGCATGTATACAGACGTATATAGAGGCAGGCAGTCCACATAGCATCTTCGTATGTGTGTGCGTGTGTGAGCGTTTGTATACGAAACATGTCACGCATGCATACCGACGTATATAGAGGCAGATGATCCACACGTCGGCTGTGTATGTGTGTGCGTATGCGTCTGTGTACGCAGACGTAACAGACATGCATGTATTCAGACCAGTATATAGGCAGGCAGTCTACATATCATCTCTGTGTATGTGTGTGTGTGTGTCTGCGTGCCTGTGTGTGTCTCTCTGTGCGCTTCCGTGTATAAGAACGCAACATACATGCATATATACAGACGTTTATGACCTAGATTTTTTCGGAAGGAGACAGGCAGTCTATATATTGCTCTCTGTGTGTATGTGTGTGGATCTGTGCTTTTTTATGTGAAAATATAGCATACACGCATGTCTGCAGGCGTGTATAGAGGCAGACAGTCTACACATTGTTCGCTGTATGTGTCTATGTGTTTTTTTCTATATTGAAACATAACGTACATGCATATACTTAGACGCGTATGTAGGCAGGACATCTGTGTGTGTATGCGTACAAGTCAGGTCGCATCTCATACGCATGCGCATACGATGTGTACATGTGTATATGGATACGTGTCACTGCATCTACATATATATATATATATATATATATATATGTACATATATATATATGTAAATATATATGTATACCTCCAGATACAAGCCTCTATCTAGCGGAATGAGATACGAGACGTGCTTCACACTGTTTTCAAGAGAGAAGTCAACATGTGTATCGGAGAGCGCAGCAGCGACAGACAGATACGCAGATGCCGCCCGCGTGGAATAGTACACGTACAGAGGCAGACACGCCTATATATCGCAGATAGAACACAGGAAATGCAATGCAAGTGATTTACTAAGAAGGCAGGCAAACGTTTCGTAGAGAAGAAAGAGTGGTGAGACGCACTCTGGTGCTCTCACGTATACACGTCTATACCTATATATATATATATATATATATATATATATGTATATATATATATCCGTATATATATATATATATATATATATATATATATATATGTATATATGTACGTGTATATGCATATATATATATATATATATATATATAATATATATATACAGATATCTATGTGGTACGGAGGAAAGACTGTCTGTCACACAGATGCCAGGTAGGTTCATGTAGAGAAATATTCGTATTCAAAGGTACATACGTCTTCGTATGCAGATGTGGCTTTGTTCTTGTGTCTCTACATGTGCACATCCGTGTAGCTGTCGAGAGAGCGCTGGCGCGTTAGATGCAGTAAGACAGTGCATAGGGCCGACCAGGCATGCACGTCCACATGTGCGTGAATATATACATATGTATATATATATATATATATGTATATATATACATATTTGTATATATATATATATATATATATATAACTAGATGTATACACGCATGCATTCTTCGTATGTATATGTACATGCGCGGACATATACGTACACATATATGTATATATATATATATATATATATATTTGTATGCAGATACGTATACAGATGTGTACAGATGTATATACGTACGTGTATGCATACATGTCTTATTTTCTTTTTGATAACTCTGAGTACATTTATATGTACTTACTTAGCTTTGGTGCAGCAGCAACGCGTACGAGTGCCCTAGAATTCATTCCTACTGAGAGATTCTTGTATCGCAGGACCTTTGTATACTGCACGTCCTGTGTCACTCAACCCCCGTGGGCAAAAGTTCGTCTTCTTCTTTTCCGTTTATATAAATATATATGTATGTATACGCACGCATATGCATCTACATACAAATGATACATATGTGTATAAAAGTTCTTTGTCTTTTTGCTTATATATATATATATATGTATATATATATATATACATATATATATACTTACAAATAATATGTATGTGTATGAAGTTTTTTTCTCGTCTTTTTTGCCCTTATATATATATATATATATATATATATATATATATATACGCGCACGCATATGCATCTACATACAGATAGTACATATATGTATGAAAGTTCCCTATGTCTTTTTTGCCTATATATATACCCATCTACATCCAGGTAATACACATATGTGTAAGAGTTTTTCCTTGTCCTTTTTGTTCATATACATACAAATATATATATATATATGTATATACGCACGCATATACAGCTACATACAGATAATACATAATGTATGATATATATATATATATATATATATCTATCTATACGTACGCACATGCATCCGCGTACAGATAATACATATATGTATGGAAGTTTTCTCTGTCTTTTTCTCTTATATATATTTATGTATATACGCACGCATATACATCTATATACAGATAATACATATATGTAAGATATATATATATATATATATATGTATCTATACGTACCGCATATACATCCGCGCACAGGTAATACATATATGTATGGAAGTATTTTTGTCTTTTTTCCTTATACATATATATATATATATATGTATACGCACGCATATACATATACGTACAGATAGTACATACAGGTACAAAATTTTTTACACGCTTTTTCCCTTTATATATACATATGTATACACGCACGCATGTTATGTATATATATATATACACAAATACTTAAAGGTAATATATACATGTATGCACATATATATATATATATATATATATATATATATATTTCGTCTTTCTTTCTGCCCCCTTCTCCCGCTGTCTTGATTATGACATGGTCTGTCTTTGTGAGAACTCTTGTCGCTTCTTTTCTTTTCATCTACTTCTTTGTGTTCTGCGTCTTCTTGCCTTCTGCCGTGTATAGAGTTGATTATTTTCTTCTTCTTCTTCTTTTTCTTCTTCTTCCTGTCTTCTACTATGCAGACCTGACATCTCGTAGTAGGCCAAATTTTTCTTTCTTTTCCTCTCTCTCAGTCTGTCTTCGCTTTTCTTGTCTTCTTCTATATGACGTAGCACCTCACAGGTGAAGCAATCATCTTGCCTCTTTGTTTTCTCTTCTGTCTTCTTTGTATCCTCTTCCTTTTTTTGCTCTCTTACGTGTATCCACATCTCATAGAATTAGAAGAAATTTTCTTTTCTCGTTTATTTCTTTATGTGGTTTGTTTCTCACTTCCGTTTATCCTGTTTCCTTCCCAGCTTTAATACTTTCATTCATGTGGCTTAGAACCACGAAGTACAAGAGACTTTTTTTTTCCGTTGTGATGTTTCTTTCCTCTTTTGCCTTCTTTCAAGTGAATTAACACTCGATAGTAGGAAGGCTTTTTCTTTGTTGCTTCTTTTTCTTCTTCTTTTCTTTGTTTCCTTTCTTTTATGTGACTTGACACTTCATAGTAAAAGGGCTTCTTGTTTGTGCGTTCTTTTGCTCCTTCGTTTCTTTTTGTCTGTTTTCTCCTTATTCCCTACCGGTACTACTGCTGCTGCTGCTTTTGCTGTTGCTGGCTGTTTCACTGCTGCAGGAGCCCACGTCGGACCAGCCACTACCGCTGCCATACGTGTGGCACATATGGGAGCAGCTGCAGCAAGAGGAACGATCTAGGGGAGTCATACTCTGAAAATACTGCAGATCTTGCCTCATTTGATACTGTACAAGTAAGTAGTTTAGCTATTTCTATACATCATATGCGTATGTATATGTGTAAGTATACAAATATATATATATATATATATGTATATACATATATATATATCTACATATACGTATAATATGTATATATATATACTATGGGCGCAGCAGAAGCACCAGCGGCAGCAAGAGCAGCAGGCAGCAGCGGCAGCAGCGGCAACAGTATTTCCCGGGTGTGGCACATTTGCGAGCAGCTGCAGCAAGATGGACGATGCGGGGACTCGTATTCAGAGAATATCGCAGATCTTGCTTCATTCGATACTGTGCAAGTAGGTACCTCATATGTAATATATCTATATATCCATAATATACATATATATATGTACATGTGCATACATGTATATGTATATGTATACTAATATATATATATATATATATGTATATATCTGTATATATGTATGTGTATATGTGTATGTACGTATGTGTATATTCATGTATATGTGTATACCACTGGCGCAGAAAGAAGCGGCAGCGCCAGCAAGAGCATCGGCAGCAATGCAGCAGCAGGCAGTAGCAGCAGCAGCAGCAGCAAGAAACAGTAGCAGCAATAATCGCCCGCATTGCCATTACCAATGCAGCACGAAGAATACTAGCAGCAGTACACACCAGCACCAACAGTGCGCCAGTGAGAGCGGTCGCAGCAGTAGACATCAACGTTCTCAAGGACACTGGAGGCAGTAAACGCCAGCACCACCAGTACGTATATATAAGTATATGTATGTATATATATATGTGTATATATATACAGTTATGTAGGAGGACCGTCTCTACGGAATAATAAGGAGGAAGCAAAGAACATATTATATATATATATATGTATACATGTACGTATCTGTATGTATATACATACACATGTCAGCGTGAGTGTGTGTATGTCCTCCTCATGTAAGTACCATCCCTCACTAGCTATACAGCTCCGCTGCCTCCCTCCTACGAACTGAGCTGCACGTCTGCTGCCCTTCTCCTGCGCAGTCATAAGCTACACAGCTGTTGCTGCTGCTGCTGATATTGTGGGTCGTCCTTCTGCCTTCGCTCACATGCAAATGTAGTGATAGACGATATGTATGAATGCTTTAGAAAAAGCGATACAGTGGTTCTTCCTTCTTATCCTTTCTCTATAGGAGGACCATTTTTTCTTTCGTTTTCTTAATGTGTGAATCATGTTTTCTTACTGTTTCTTCATAGCAGAAAAAGACCTTGAAGGACTCCGCCCTGAACAGGCTTACTTTGTTTTCTGTTTGTTATTTTGCAGAAATTTTGGAGGCTCTGGTCATGCATTCCCCAGCCCAGCGAACTCGTTGATAACAAGCGTACGTCCACTGTTGCTGTACAGATGTGTCGATATATACATATATATATATATATATATATATATGTATATCTCGGTCTGGACGTGCATATATATGTACATACGTATATATACGTACATATATATATATATATATATATACACATACATGCATGTATGTATATATATATGTATGTATATATATACATATACATATGTATATATATGTATATAGATGCGCACCGGTATCTCTATACGTATGTACGGGTAGACGATCGGTGTAGTCTTTGTATTGCTTCGCGGTCTGGAAGAAGTTCTGCTGTTGTTCTGCCTCTTTTTTTCAGCGTACATGTTTGCAAGAGCGGCTGTGAAAATGAAAAAGCGGAAATGGTAGTAGAGAAAGAATGGTTATGATAATGATGTGGGAGCGAGTAATGGTAGTCAGCTTTACCTTCTTTTTCTTGTGAATTTGCCTTCTTGTGCGCAGGATGGTGAGACAAGGAAAAGATGGTCGGAATCACGTAGTCGATGCCCTCATGATTTTCAGGTATGTCTCTGTTCATTTCTTCGTCGCAGTACATATAAATCTCTATTATACAAACTAATATGTATACACAAATACATACATACATGCATACATACATGCGTGCCCGCATAAATAAGTACATACGTACGT